GAGAGAGAGAGAGAGAGAGAGAGAGAGAGATATGAAGAGACTAGGACTCGAATTACAAAGGAATATTTAAGGAATATTGAAATTAAATCCGTACAAAGCATACATGTATAAATCATGTGCAGCATCAATAACGGACGAAATATGCAATATACATTCATTTTGTCGTTTTGGCAAATCGAGACATCTCTCGAATCTTGTGCAATTGATACCGCAATGCGGCACGTGACGGCAACAGCTTCTCTCTAGTCTTTGCGATTAGGCTTTAATTTCACTTGCGTAGAACTACAGACTATTGTTATGTAAAAATCTCGAATAAGAATTTTTTTTATTGCCTCAATCTATTTTAACTAATTATATTATATATATATTTTAACTAATTATATTATATATATATTTTATAATTATATTATATATAATTATATTATAATATTTTAACTAATATCAGCAATGGCGAGAATAAAATGTGTAGAAGTAAATAACACACAGAATATTAAATTCGTGGAATACTTTTGAAGAGTTGATTCCAGAAAGTCCATAAAAAAGAAAAAAAAATTGTATGGTTGGTATGCAAAAATATCGATTGAAGATTATTTACTATTCATGTTATAAGCAATTTATGTTATTATGTTATATTATAGGATTTTTCTTATTATCTTTGTTTCATATAATGTAAATTTCAATTGCTTAATAAGCAAATAGGTATCAATTGGTCTTTTGTATACCAATTTTTGTATTTTTATCTCTTTAAAAAGTTCCATGGGATTATTATGTTAACATCCACATGAATTTTTATGTAATTACGAGAAGAGAATTCGCAGGTATTTGTTTTTCATAAAAGAGTATCACTATAATTATAAGAATATATAATGAGATGTTCGAGTACTCAAATAAATTGAATAAATGACCACATCAATAATTTATAATTGTATCAGCAGAGAAAAATTTTTATGATGCATCCTAAAGCTCATCGTTATTTTAACTTATTTTTCACTGACATACTATTCTTTTAAAAAATAATACTAAAAGAACTCAGATTCAAAATTTAAAGTCATACGAGAAATAAATTTCAATTTCACTTCATTTAAGTATACCACTATGTGATGTTTATCTCATAATCAATAGCTCTATCACCATTTTTCGAAGGTCGTGATATCTAAATGGTTTTTCGAGATGTACACAGTATCGAGAAATCGGTTGCTGCCATTAATCGTGATTCTCGTGAAATACGAAATGCAGCTTATCGGCCATCGCGTTGTATCGTTGCCGAATATCGCCACGTAATGAATTAATCCGTTAAGGCCCAAAAACGAAACGTTTCATTTAAAGCTAGTAACTGAAATCGGGTCTGTGAGATAACCAGGCAGAAAAAATATCTGAGAGGAAATATATGAGTCAGAATGACAAATCATATTGTATATTTCACGTAAAAATATGTTTCATATGGTAATTTTATTTTTTATGCACATAGGAATATTTGTATTTTTTTATATTATATGTATAATGTAAATATACTTATATATCACATAAAACATATTTGTGAGATGTACAATTATGACTGATGTTGACATTTCTTATGAATTAGATATTCTTTGATATTTTGGATAATTAATGTTGAGATTTTTAACAAATTAAACAAGAAATATTTATAAATCAACTGTTGATATATTGAAACGAAATTTTAAGAGAATATTAAAGATAGATATTAAAGATAATTACATAATTAAAAAAAAGGAGCTTTCTTTAGTTTCACTTATAATTTCTTTTAATCAATGTATATATAGATTAAGTTCTGGATCAAGTTCTTACATCATAATATCTATTAAAACAACATTGTAATAATATTTTATTTCAATTAAAATAATAGCAATAGCTTAATTAATAAATTTGAATTAAATTTAATAATAATAAATTTATTGATTTTTCAAATACTCTTCATTCAGGTTATATGGATCAAAATTGATAATAGTCGAATATGTAGTATGTAGTCGAATCTGGAAAGTAGCCAGATTGAAAATAAACTTCTTATTTCAACTTAATTAATTTTGGCGATAATTTTAGTAGCATAACAGAGTTATTAGGTCGCAAAATAACCGTTTTGGCCATGTTGACATTATTATTTGTTACATTGCATATTTTTTGTCGATATATTCTACTGATCGATTTATTTTCCTATAATATAATGATTAATTTTTGAAAAACAAGATAAAATTCATGAAAAAATAAAATAGCTTATCAATATTTATACACATGATATGCAAAAATATTCAAAGAATAATACACATTATGATATTTAAAAATCTTTTCTATTTTTTATACAGTATAAATTAAGATAAATAGAATTGAGGATTATTTATTAAATTATAAATTATTTAATAAAGTAATATGAAATATGATAAAGATAGAATAAGTCTATCTTCATTTCGCTTCATGTAATGTAAAATTTAAATGATATACAAAATGACATACAAAAAAAGCACAAAATATTCAAATAATATTCAATATTCAAATAATACATATTATAGTATTACTTAAAATAAAAATGAATTTCTATTTAAGCTCCATTCTTTTGATTAAGTTCATACAAATATTATTTTGCATAAATATCTATTTATCAGCATTAAAAAACTATTCATAGAATTTATTATTAGTAATAAACGTTTTAATACATAATTGTAATGTATTTTTTAATATTTTAAATAAAAGAGAATTTTAAAAACTTACTAAATATTTTTCTCATAATTGTTTCTTCTTTCAATTAAAATTGAACAATATTAAATTTCTAAAAATTTGAATTATTTATAAGATAAAATATATTTTTATAAAACATTATAGATAAATAAACATTCCTCTTTAAGCATTTCTTTTATGCAAAATAAAATCAGTCTAAGAAACCAAAAAGCCAAAGATTTAATTTTTATTTTGTTTTCATTAAATTTGAATAAAGTTATAGAACTTCGAAATCTATATAATTTTTTACTATTATAATATAATATTTATTACTATTATTAAATTATTTATATGATTTTATACTATTATTGATCTTAATTCGATAGTCAATATCTGTATTATTACAATATATTTATATAAAAAATTTTAAAGATATTCAATCTATCTAATACCAATAAATTTATTTAGACCAATAATTTTTACATACATACGAATATCTGATATAAATGAAAGAAATACATATAACATCGTTTTTGAAAATTATTGATAATCAAATATTTTAAATATCCGAATAGTATTACAGATTTAAATTTTGAATTAAGTTTTAACAACGGTGAAAAAATTATTTAAAGGCAATATCCAACATAATATCCTCTAATATCGTGCTAATCAAAAAATAAAAAATCATTAATTTTATATATATCTATATTCTTCTATCTAATTTATATTATTCTACGTTAATCTATATTATTTCTACGCATTTCGATAAATAATAAATAATCATATATAAAAAAAATCACATTATCTCACTGCTCGGCTTGGATGGATAATCAGGAAAAAAGCGAAAAATGCGAAAGAGATTCTCACCTTTCTGCTCGATCACAAATATTTGATAATCGATCTGTTGGCGAAGCAGCATCGGATGAAGATTGTAGAGCAAAGTTTGGAGATGCTTCGGTCGATCGCGAAACGGAATGATGATGGCTACTCGATGCCTGGCCGTGCAATTTGTTGGACAACCTTTGCCGCCAGGCTTCACTTCAGTGAACGTCTTCTCCATCACCTCCAACTCCGGGGGTGATTTGCTAACAGTCAATGGGCCAACTGCAAATAATCCATCGGGTCAAGTTTTTAATCTTGCAGTTAATTTCGCGACCCAGTTGGCAATGGCGCTATTCATGGATAATTATTACGTATTATATCAAATTTAAAAGGTGATTGGAAGAGAAATTGCAGAAAGATTTATAGAAAAAAGATCTTGAACTGAATATGTGAATTTCAAGATAATATTAAATATGAGTTAACGTATAATATATAATTATAATATATATTATTA